TAATCTAGTCAATGAGAATACGCATATTTACCCTTCTGCAACACTACCCGGTTACCTAAATTCTATCATGTCTCTCAATGATTTTACAACATCCATTCTCTTATTTCACACTTTCATCATTCCGGCTTAAAAGGGCTTCAACATTCATAGAATTCGATGATTTCGGGAGTGTATCCTCATTTTGCTAGAATCAAAGATATGGCATATGTCTAGCTACAATAGTTTTAGTATGTTGACTGTTGATGACTAGCATTTGGACATGTCATTCCTGGAGATCGCAATTCAACATGGTGGATAAATACCCTTCTCACTGATAATCTAAAGATTTATGGATGTGCATATAGGATTAGAATTGTTTCAAATTGAAGTTGCAGTTTTTCCAAATTAAATTCAGGTTACTTCTTTTTTTTTTTTTATTCTTAATCGGTTTAACCCTTTTTTTTTCAATATGGTGGTCTTTTCTTCTTAATTTTGAGGATTCACCAATGTATATATACACTCATATACGTAACAGTAATTTTTTCTTTGTTAGCAGACTTATATGTGTATCCAGTTTCATACTTCTGTTTCTTACAAATAACCAAATATGCTTTTTTTTAGAGAACAAATAACTACATGCACTGAATTGATATTTGATGTTGTGCTGTGCAGGCTATATTTAAGCCACCAAAAGCAATCCGTGGAGGAATCCCAATATGCTTTCCTCAGTATATATCTTCTGCAACTTTTTTTGTCCTCCTGACTATTTCTGTCATTTTGGTAATGTAAAGTTTGCTCCACATGCAGTTTTCAAACCTGGGTCCTCTAGAAGCACATGGATTTGCCAGAAATAGGTTCTGGAGCATTGAGACTGACCCACCTCCTCTCCCTACAAATTTCTTCCAGTAAGGCTTTTGTTGATTTGCTCCTTAAGCAGTCTGAAGAAGATATGAAGATCTGGCCTCACAGGTGAAATTCTTGAGATCTCTCTCACGGTCACTGAATTATTGATGCAATTTCTTCCCCTAAAGACAGGTAAAGTTTCAAGATTTTGAATTTATTTATTTTATGTTTCACTAGTTATGAGTTTCGCTTGAGGGTTGCTTTGGGGCCTGGAGGAGATCTTATGTTGACTTCTCGCATCAGGAACACCGGGACTGATGGGAAGCCATTTACATTCACATTTGCATATCACACTTATTTCTCTGTTTCAGACATCAGGTAATCAATGATTTTCTCTTGGTGTGCTTGATTGAGGAATTAGCTGTTCATGGTATTCCTTGAATGTAGCTGTATTCTATTTTTTGGTTTAAACTATTTAACTCCTGGTTCAAAGTTTAAACCAAGTTTTAACTTACCCTCAAATAATGTCCTATTCAAGCTCTTATTTATATTTTATCCTAACATCCACATTTTATTATTCTCAGAATCTTAAGTTGCCTTGCGTTGTATAAGGCACAGCTATTTTCCTGGAAATTAAAATTTCTCTTCATTCATCTTGGTTTTTTGCATAACCAACATGTCTACTTCATGTTACAGATCTTAGATTAAACAGAGACTATTATCAAGTTTAAATTCTATGTTTACCAGATAGTCATCATTATCTTGATTCAGTGTTAATGCCCTCTTGTTTATTTGGACCACCCAAACTTTTGAAGTTTTTCAACATTACAGGAAACTTACCTCCTATTGTACTTCACAGACAAATTTTGGTACTTCTATGATTAAATTGAGATTTGCGATGACATCGCTGATCCATGGTTGTTTTATCTAACTGCCATAAGTGCAATGCTGTATCAAGCAATTGGTCCCAACTTGAAATTACCATTGCAGGATAACTTTCTTTAGGGGCCTAATGCTGAGGTTCATCCATTTTGGTTAATTGCCAGGCATGTTCTGGCATCGTAAAGTTACTTGATATTTTGCGTCCATCAGCCTTATCTGCTATATTGAAATTTTAATAGTTAATTGCGCAATGTACTCTCATGCTTTTTCCTACAAGTTTTGATTGATATGTAACTTGATTAGTTGCTCACGTTCAGTGAAGTTCGTGTTGAAGGATTAGAGACACTAGATTATCTTGACAACTTGCAAAATAGGGAGCGTTTTACTGAACAGGGGGATGCAATAACATTTGAATCTGAAGTGAGTTCATGATAAACTTTTTCCTTCATTTGGCTATGCTTCCATATAGTTCTTGTTGGACTAATCTTTGAAGGTTAAATAGGTGGACAAGATATACCTCAGTACTCCCACAAAGATTGCTATTCTAGACCATGAAAAGAAGAGGACATTTGTAATACGCAAAGATGGACTTGCTGATGCTGGTTAGATTCATTATTCCTCTGATCTTATCATTGTTGTTACTTAGAGGAGGGAGAAATTTTTGGTGCTCGTACATGGTTTTCTACTTGAGCTTTTAGACGTTGCCACTAGTGAAAATGTAACTATCGTAAATGGGAGAACTTTCTTTAATTGCAAAAATGATATCTATAAATGTTTTGGAACAGGACAGCTAAATTTACTGGTAATTTCCATTGAGATTATCCATAACTCTTCCTTTTTCGTATTTATTCTCTTACATGCAGTGGTGTGGAACCCCTGGGATAAAAAGGCAAAGGCAATGGTTGATTTTGGAGATGATGAATATAAGCATATGCTCTGTGTGGAGGCTGCTGCTATTGAGAAGCCTATCACACTGAAACCTGGTGAGGAGTGGAGAGGAAGGCTGGAACTTTCTGCTGTTCCTTCCAGTTATTGTAGTGGCCAACTTGATCCTCAGAAAGTACTTCAAAGCAGCTAAAAACATCTTTAGTTCTGGCCATACTATGTACAGGTAATTTGCTTGATCATCGTAATTCTTTAATTTTTTTCTATACAGGACTATACTAATTTAAAATTAGCTATATCATTGATCTTTCATTTTATTGTTTCCTTCCTGCATATGCTTTTCTGTTAGATAGAAATGCTTCTCCAAATGCAATGTCCAATCATTTTCTTTATAATATCACTGCACATTTATTTCTTTTTTTTCACAAAAACAAGATTAAGTAGTCTATGCCTGATAGAAATGTCTTTCTGAAAACATTGGTCATGGGAATTTATTTTGCAGGTATTTTGTTGCCACATGTGGGTGGATTACGGTAATGGATTCGTAGCCCCTTTTAATTTTATATTTTTCTCTCTTGAACTTTTGTTGGGTGGAAAAGGACGGTTCATGAATAGCTGAGACTTCTGTGAAATAATGTTGCTTTTAGTGGTGATTGTTTTTCAACCGAAAACCAAATTAGTGACTGTTCCGGTCATGTTGAGATGGAGCAAACAAAGCATAAATAGAAAGGTTGAACTTGAACATTAGTACTGCTGTGACAAATGTGAAATTTGTTATCCTGATGGAAATGGAATCACTTAGCACTGAAAAATGAAAATCAGTGTTTATCTTTGTGTTCTTATGATGAGATTCTTCAACAAATTACTGTGAGCGTCCAGCAAACGAAGATATAAATGACAGACAATGATTTAATTCAGTTAGGTCGGTTCTGAAGAATTTGTCCGCAATATGTCACTATTTTGCTGTACGAGAACTATTTACTTTTGAATAAGCTTCCTCGTTTCTGTTGTTAGTAGCGTTGAATATCCTAATCGAACTGTTTCTTATTTCTTGAACCTTTACCCTCCAATGGGCCCAGCAGAGAAGTATGTCGACGTGTTTCCTATATCTGATCAGTTAGCATCGAGGACATGCTAAATGATTAATTCTACAGAGTCTAGTGGAAGGAAAATGTTTGATGGTGTTTCTAGATGCTTTGGGTAAGCCTCGCTCGTCTGATAGGTTGCTCAGTGTTAGTATATAAACCCTTTTTTTTTTTATTAAAAAAAAAAAAAGTAAATATCACAAAATAAATCTCTTGTTGCAGTCAAAGGTAAGTACGAGGTAGTATGGCAGTGTTCGGATATGTGCAAACCCCAATTGAGGTGCTAAAGGAAAATTAGACTTCGAATTTTTCAATATTTTATTTCATGGATATAATGTACCTTCTCAGATGAAACCAAATGCATAAATTTAATGACATGTATCAATTTGGTCTATTAATAAATCAACGGAATTTTTTTATTTACGTTTAGATCTAGCATTGTTTTTTTTTTTTTTTTTTTTTTAATTTTATACTATTTTTTTTGTAAGACTACATGAATTAAATTGAGAATTGGATGATTAATTCTCAATTTGATAAACTTACAAAGTTCATGACTACATAAAATCATTATGTAAAGATTATTAACATGGGTATTATCGGTTGGTAAAATTCATCTACTTAAAAAAAAAAAAGAGGGGGGTTTTGTTTTATGATAAAAATTTCATTAATCTCATTTCAAGAAGAAAAGAAAAAAAAAAAAAAAAATGAAATACATTAGCTAAATCCTGTACCTAAAATTTTACAAGAATGTAGTTTAATTAAACTCACGACATTCAGTTAAACAATTGAATATCTCTCTCAAAATTGATGACTATAATGAATTATGGTTAAGAGTAAAAATCGAGTTTTTTTTTTTTGTCATTGAAATAACTTGACGTAAATTAAGTTATTTTTTTTAATAAATTTATATTTTACGTGAATTAAACAAAACTTGTGACCTAATTATCTTATTTGGCATGGTAGTAACACTTATTTGTAGGATGAAAATGGGTATCTAACATTCGATTGGAGCACCAAACTGAGAGGGATATGGGTATAACACAAACTGGCCTCAGATCCATCTTCTAACTCCCTGATTATATCCCGTAGAAGAAGTAAGGTAATTATTTTTCTTGAAGTTATTATTATAATTATGGGTTAAAATTTTACATGACTTGAAATCATAAGGAAAACACAACTTCAAAAGTGATTGGCTGGCAGTTTTTGTTGAACTGTTAGTTAGCTGTAACTTGATAACAACTAGATTGATTGATTGACTGACTGACTGATTGACTTAAATCATAAAACTATTTTTTTTTTTTTTTAAAAAAATAATTAATTAATTTGATTAAAAATTTTAATTTTTAAGATTTTGTTTCTCCATGACTATGCACGTAAAGTAAGAAGACAACTTTCCTCAACCTTTTGACTTAATCCAAAATGCATATACACTCACATGGTCCATGTTCGCTATCCCTGTTCTTTCACGTTATATTGGATTTCAATAATTCCAGACTTTTCCATACACACACACACTTGTTTACTTACAATCAACTAATCAGTTATTCTTAATTTGTTTTAGTGACACAGTAATTTATACAAACGCAATTCCATATATATATATATATATATCAACTTTTTGGAATGTAAATTATTTTTTAGATCTCATTGTGATTAAGAAAAGAAGATAAACTATTTCTTGCTCTTTTGAATTATTTATATACAAAGCTGGGTCTTATACAATATATGTACATATGCTTTATAAAATTAAAATTGTGGCTTGAGTGCCACTTGGACGATGAAGTCGGAAGAGGGTGTTATTTTGAGGAGTAGTTGGTCGCAGGAACATGCAGTTGAGTTGGTAAAGACATGCATTCATGCTTAAAATATTAATCCAAGGAATTAATTAATTCTGCATTCTTAACACCAAGGCAGCTTATAATATATATATATATATATATATTTATATAATGTAATATTTTCATTAGAATTTAATTCATCGAAAAACTTGTAAGATCTTTACTTAAATTAATTATATACATGTATGTGACCTCTTCCTTCCCTCAATCTGTCAAATTTTATTTTATCATTAGCAGCCAGAGTGACCTCTTCCTTCTCTCTTCTTCTTTTTTTTTTTTTTTTAAATTATTAATTAAATAATTCTAAGATATCTATAAATTCATCCCAACCAACTTAAAAACTAATTAAGCTAGAAAAATCAACAGCCATGGAGATCAAATCGATCAAATCTCAAACCTTTATTGCTTTCTCATTCATAATTCTCTTCTTCGTAGCTTCTGCTTCTGCTCAAGCCCTCAGACAGAACTTCTACCAAAACGTATGCCCCAACGTGGAGTCACTCGTCCGCTCCGCCGTCCAAAAGAAGTTCCAGCAAACCTTTGTCACCGCCCCTGCAACTCTCCGCCTCTTCTTCCATGATTGCTTTGTCCGGGTAATTATTATCCACAAACATACAATTTTTGCAAATATTAATTTGTACGTAAACTATGATAGCATGTTTTTTATGATTTCTCCGTTTTATTATAGGGATGTGATGCGTCAGTATTGATAGCATCAGGTAATAATCAGGCCGAGAAAGATCACCCGGATGATATATCACTTGCGGGAGACGGATTTGACACGGTCATCAAGGCCAAGGCTGCGGTTGATAGTGATCCAAAGTGCAGAAACAAAGTTTCTTGTGCTGATATTTTAGCTTTAGCTACCAGAGATGTTGTTGCATTGGTACACTAGTATTAGTATTGTCATTTACACGAGACATAAATGTAGTGTGTGTGTGTGTGTGTGTGTATATATGTATGTATGTATGTATGTATTTTACATATACATTATTACATATAAATATATGTGGAATTATAAATATTGCAGGCAGGAGGACCATCTTATAAAGTTGAATTGGGGAGACGAGATGGAAGGATATCTACCATAGCCAGTGTTCAACACAACCTTCCTCGACCTGACTTCAGCTTAGACCAACTAAATAACATGTTTGCTCGTCACGGTCTCACCCAACCCGACATGATTGCCTTATCAGGTATTATATATATATATATATTTTGAAGTCATATATGCGCATTGTTATCATATGTTCTAAACTATGCACGTATATGTATATATATGTATATATGCTTATGTTTGTGATTGAGCTGCCAAATTATAAATGTTAGTGGTCTAAGGCTAATATATAGTTCATTTCAAAGAAAAATAAAAATTATAAATTTTACTAGAAAATTATAAAAGTTCATTTCAAATAAAATTCTATACAAACTTTGGAATGATGATTTTAGATAAATTTTTTTAACATTTTTTAATTAAATTAAATATATATTCTTAATATTGTACAAGTTCATATTCTAAATATAACCTAATTATAATTTGTGATATGATGTTGATGGTAAATGAAATTAACTTGAGAAATTGTAAGATTTTCACTTCAAGGCAAATTTACTAGTAGAAAAGATTTCAATACTTGATTTGAATTTAGATGATGTTCCATCATTCTTGGTCACATCAAACAAAACGACGGATCCCCCTATTCAACCAGGGGTGAAGTCCGGTTGTGAGATCAAGTTTTTATGAAATGGATAGTAGAAATCTCTATATTAGAAACTAAAATTAAATACTCTAAATTTAAGTTTAAAAATATAAATTATTTTTTAAATTTAGATTCATTTAAACCTATCAGTGATGAAGTTCTTCAACATAAATTGTTGGTTCGATAGAAAAAATAACTTGACTCAATTACAAAAAAACTCAGTTTTTATTACCTTTCAAGTTAAATTGACACTACTTATGTATTTTTTTTTTTGAATAGGTGCACACACAATTGGATTCTCTCATTGTAGCAAATTCTCAAAGAGAATTTACAACTTCAATCCTAAAAGTCGAATTGATCCAACATTAAATCGTAATTATGTCTTTCAACTCAGACAGATGTGCCCCTTAAGAGTTGACTCGAGAATTGCTATCAATATGGATCCAACCACACCTCAAACATTTGATAATGCTTATTACAAGAACCTTCAGCAAGGAAGAGGACTCTTTGTGTCTGATCAAGTATTATTTTCTGACCAAAGATCCAGAGGCACTGTTAATCTCTTTGCATCAAACAATACAGCCTTCATAAAAGCTTTTGTCATAGCAATAACGAAGCTTGGTCGTGTTGGAGTTAAGACGGGAAGACAAGGTGAAATCAGAATAGATTGTACACGTCCAAACTAGAAATTTATTATCACACTTATTCAGATTTTTTCCTTTTTTTTTTCATCTCATATCATCTTGAGTTATCTATCTTCTTAGACTTAATTCAATCTAGTTTGGTATTTTAATCTAAGGATTAATTCATCATTTGTAAGTGGATTAGTTCTTTAAGATGATGATCATTGTGATCACCATTTGAATAAATTAAATTGATACAACTGATAAATACATTTGATTAGAGACCAGGAAAATAATTAATTTTTATTTTACGGTAATAATATTATATAAAGACAATCACATTGATGAACAAAAATTAGTAGGTTTCAATATAAAGGATTTAAGTCACAAAACCGATTGGGCTTGAGTTCTTAAAGAACAAATTTTTTGGCCCAAAAATTGTAATACCCTTAATTAATTTTAATGTAATTAAAATTAATGTATAAATATAGTCTTTCAATTTTTGAATTTTTATTTAATGTAAAAATGAAGAAAAATAGGTAGATGATGAAATTGAAAATAATTTTGAAAAAAAAAATGAAAATATGGATTCTATGGGTGTTTTTGAAAGAAAAATTAGAAATTAGATGTCAAAATATAATTTAAAAAAATTATGCCACGTAGGACGCCCAGTCAGCAACCTCGACGAATTGGAGCACATCGCATGCCAAGGCACGCTGACGCAGTGCCGCGCAGGAGGCCACACTGGCGATTTGTGTGCCCGCGATCGAACAGTCCGGATTTATTCTGGCGTGCACGGGCGATTCGGATCCGTTTGCCCTTTAAACACGATCGGACGGTTCAGATCAAATCATGATGAATGGTCCAGATCCACTTTCTATTTAAACATGATCGGACGATCCAGATCAAATCGCGATGAACGGTCCAAATTCACTTCCTATTTAAACGCGATCGGACAGTCCAAATCAAATGTGATGGACGACTCAGATTAAAAAGAGACGAATATAAATAACTCTCTTCACACCAAACCCTAACCCTAACCGCCAGACACCCCCCGCCGGAGAAGAAGAGCCAGTCACCGGGAAGGGAGTCGACTGCCGCTTGCCGCTGTGCCGGAGCCACTTTTGACTGCCAAAAGGGGTAAACAATTTTTTATTCGCTCGAAATTCAATTTTGAATACCATTTTCAACGTTTTGTTTCGTGTAATTTTTTCACCATTGCAATTATCATTCCTTTCTCTATAGATTGATCGAAGCAAAACACCCAACCGCGAAGGTGAGCCAGCAGAGCCACTACACCGAAAAACTCCACCGTCAGTAAGCTTCGATTTTGCGACTTTTTTCGACCAACCGAGACCCTTTAATGTATTTTATCGCAGGATGGGTACAAACCTGACCGAAATTGGCCGAAATC